AGGTAAGAAAGTACAAAATTGCTGCTGACAGGCGAGATAACTGAATATCGTCGCGAAGAACCCGTCAGCCAGTAATTTAACAGTCGTGAAGTTCATACAGCCGCTTGAGCCAGAAAAGTGTCACTTCATACTGACATAAAGATAAAACATCGCTGAAGTCTGTAAGCCTCGGTTGGGAGACAAGGCCTCGCATCCTGTTCACATTTTACGCAATCATCTCATCAATCGCCAAAATCATCAAATGGTTTATAAGAAGTAATTCCGTTGAAAATTATGACGGTGAAAAGCTTTCCACCGCATAAGAAATTTAGGTAATCGCTTTAAAATGTTGCGTAGTATGGTCATGTTATTAACAATTACATACAGTACAAGATAGAGACATAAATACTGGCTGTATGTAATCTGTTGTGTACAACGTACGGTGTAGATGACCAGAGTAAAACTCGCGTTTTGTATACACTGCTTACCAAATACGTACACAGTGCACAAAAGATGCATGTGTTCTGGTTATTGATTATGTGGATATAGTAAATAGTTTATTTTTTGTGCACTGTGTGACTGTTAACGGGATAAGTACCATATGCGTTATGTAAATTAACGTTATATTCGAATTTTACGCAACGATATGTTGAAATGAAATGCTTAAAAATAGTTTCCTGCATCGCGCTGTTAACATTTTCACGGTGCAGATAAACCTTAGTCATCTGAATATTGACCTCATGTGTTTAGAACGTAATATGCTGCTTACTGTGTATGTTGTCTGTTTATGTCATTTATATTCTGTACATGGTATGAACAGTTGCTCTGTATGCAGAAAATTTAGACCGTATGTAGTATGTTACATACAGTTGCAAACTAAACAGTCTACATTTTCTGTTTACTACATTATATGAATTCTGTCAATAATTACACTGTATACGAAGATATGGACTGTCAAATTGTGACTATATATGTTATGTACTATATAGTATGCTGTGTACATTGAGTCAATAGATACTACACATTTTCTATAACGTGCGTAACGGTATAGCGGCGGTACGCAAATGTTCATTTTATTCGAATTATATGTAATGATTTGGAGAAATGACATGACGAAAGTCGATGTTCGTACACATACAAATAAAAATTACACCGTTTATAGAAAATGTTGACAAATGCTTGTTGAGTGTCGGCGTATAATATACAATATGCTGAATATTATACAGATCAGTAGCAAGCCATTTTGTATTTTCTGCATATTGTGTCAGTCGTGATATACAATACATTGAATGTGTAATGGTGCGTGTTATTTGCATATTTTGAGCAGTTAAGAAACGCTACTCACATACGGTCTGTATTTTCTGTGCAATTACTAGCAATATGTGTACGGGACCTAGTTTGGTGCAAAACCAAAGGTGCACAGTAATGCAGTATCGCGTACCTCCTCGTAGCAAAGGAGAAACCAATGGTAAATTGTTGTTTTCGTTAATGTTTAATGAAATGGGTAATTAATTATGCTTCCCATATTCGCGGCTAATTGCTTTCTAGGCGAACCGCTAGACGCTGCTTGGTCATCTCCGATATGGCCGTCTCCGTGCTGTACATTTGCTCTGTAATTTTTCATAAATTCAGTGTTACGTCTGTGCAAAGAGCGGAGCGTACATTGAGAGTCGAGTTATTTAAAGATTAAGCACTTGGTTTCAATGCTTCTTATGGTGGCGTAATATCCGTTTATGAAATTGAGCATCCTCGAAGCGGTATTTTCCCCGTTTTGGACTGTCCATATGCTCTGATGCATATAGTTTTCTTCAAATAAATTTTTTGTGAATATAAAACAGTTTGCGATTTGATGACTCTATATTTTCATCAAAATACATCGACACTTGGGACTCCATGCACCCTCCTTCACCAAAAAGCGCAATATGCTGAATTTCTGGTGACATTCTGAGAAGTTTTGGGTTCAGAGAGTCCCTAGTTCGAGATAGACGAATACAACATAACGGACACATTTGTCTGTAGCTCCTCTGAAATTCTCAGAGACATTTTCTTTCTTTGAAAGGCTCATACACATAGAACTGAACAGGAAGCTGCTTTAGCTCTTTGCACATTGTTGCTTACGATCACAAATGCTCTACGGAATCTCTTGTTCAAGATTTTCTACCACAGTTAATCGCCCGTAAATACTTTGATAAGGCATACTGTTGTCATCTGTGTCAGCTGCAATGCAACAGTTCTTAGAGAAGCGATCGTTCAGGAGTAACGCTTAGTGAAACTACTCGAAGGCTAGTCATCGTAAACTAGCTTAGTCATATATAGTCTTAGTGGTACCATTTTAGGAGGAAGTGTTTAGAACGAAAAGTACTCGAAGCCTACCGTTTCCGCTTTGTGTAGCAGGTCTGGCGGTATCCTCACAATGGTTTTACTATGGGGTGCTGGTCGACGACATTTTCATCAAGGTAATACTTTATCTCAAAGATATTTTCTAACTGTGCCTGTTTAGATACCGAATGCAATTGGAATAATTTTGTCACTTCTGCAGCTATCGCTCTTTGTTATTTTTCGGGAACGTATCCACGCAACATGAGTATATCATCGTTTTTTAATTGTCCTTTTTTGATGACTAGAAGTAGAAATTTGTAGAAATTCTGTATACCGTGTTTCTTTATTAAATGTAGGCATTTAATGCTTCCATTGTATATTTATGCCAATGTAGTTGCAGTGTCTTATGTGTGCCCAGTTGAGCAGTTAAATGTTATTTAATGTGATGAATTTTTTTAAATTTCTCATCGTATTGTTTAAACTTCGGCATGTTTGCGTACAGAGATATCGATACAGGATATCAAATATGTCTAAGATTTGTGCAAGCGAGTTTTTGTTGGCGAGGTCTGTTGTTCAATCGATTTGATGTGTGGTGAAATTTTTCACGTTAAACCGTTGTTTGGTTTTCGCTTTCCTGAACTTCTGATTACATGTAGTAAACGAAACACCTCGAAGAATCGAAGAGAAATGAAAACAGCATCAGGTCAGAAAGCAGAGGTCTAATACGTGAAACCTTAAAAAAGTTTGAGGAAACCCATTAGCGAGACGTTGAAGCATTCAACTGCAGATTTGAAAAGGAAACTGTTGGCGAAAAACGAAATATGAATAAACTGTATTAAAGTCTGACGGTCGGGACAGATTTTTTGACTACTAAGAGAGAAGACGGGACTGTGACCATAGATATGCAAGAGATTTTAAAGGAACAGCAAATTCCAGACTATTGGGCTATCGCATCGATTATTCTACTCTACAGAAAGAGAAAGGATTTTAAGAACTACAGACTGATCAGTTTGTTTCAGTCACCTGCAAGATCTTCGCCAAGGTATTCACGAAAGGTCTTTAATAAAATCTGGACATAGCATATCCAAAGAAACAAGCAGGACTCAGAAGTAGATTTAATATGATGGATGGTACAACAATTAATTCAGACAAGCAGCGAATATCAGTTTCCTTTCTCGGATTCATCGACTTCGAGAAGGCTTTCGATTCAGTGTTCATCCGCACAGTTCTGAATTTCTATAGGAGGCAAGAAATCGAGAAAAGATATAAATATATCTAATCGCCATTATTTAGAAGAATCCAACTGCCGTGTGGAGATTTATGAAAGCATACGCGAGGGCTTCTGGCAAATGAAGTTATTCGCAGCAGCCCAGAAAACGTTTTCAAAGCACTCCTTTTGAAAAAAGGAGGGCTGAATGTAAACAGGCACTATTTAAACTACCTGCTGTTTTCACTGGAAGCTTCGGAGAAGAATCAAAAAGCTGAACAATGCCGATGTGAAAGTAGAACTGAAAGTGAACTTGAACTGGACTCAAGTAATGTTTAACATATATCTGATTGCGCGATTTGTTGAAGTCGATAAACTTGGGCTCCAGGAAGTGCAGCATAAAAAATCATGTACTTTTCGGACAGCTCATCTCTGCAGTGGAAAACCGACTATGTGAAATCAACATAAGAATAAAAATGGCATGGAGCACTTTTGAAAGACTGGAAATGTTCTCTTCTGGAAAACGGTACTTAAAATGAAAGGTTATCAGTGTGTGCTAGCTTATTGGAGAGAAACATGGATTCTAAACTTTAGAATTCTTCATAAACTATACACTATGCAACGGAGCATGGAATATGTATATTGGGAAAAACAGGAAGGCAAATGAGTGGATTAAAGCACTTACAAGTATCCTGCGATTTCAGGAAAAATCGACCATTGCCGAACCAAAGAGACATTAGATTAAGTTGGTGGAGAGGGTAGACCTCCTGCAGGGAGGACCTAATCAGTAGTATGATGATCTGGAAAAGTTCACTGGATCAAGTTGGATGGAAATGACAGAGAACAGAAGGCTATGGCAAAGTCTTGGAGAGGCCTTCATTCAACGATGGGTCAACAAAGGCTTACAATGATGATGATTGAAGTAAACAATCTGTTTAAGAAGTAAAGCTCTGTAGTTCGCCGATGTCGATTTTCAATAGATAAAAATAGTGGTAGGAAAGTTCAAGGCAAAGTACTAGGCCAATAGTGCGGATTTCAACCATTTTCGATTGTGAGTCTGCTTGATCAGGAAACTCAAAATTTGCATGGTCTGCTCGAAACCGTTTGTCAGCTGCCTTCCCAGATGGATCGACGAGCTGATCATAGCATGCTACTACGATAGTTTGAAAAATCGGTTGTAGATTTGGATAAATATAAAGTAAATAACCGAAACTTTCATTCTTCTGACAAACATTTAATTACGGTAAGAAAATCCGTATCTGTCCCTTCATTTCCGATTTACTGGTGACCACGATATTGCCCTGTATCAGAGGTTACTAAGCCTTTTTAATTTAATATCTTATTAGCGGGTTTGCCAAGTTCCGGTAACGGCAGAGATTTGTTGGAAAATCCACGGGTGAGGGGGAGAGGCAGCTGTTCGCAGCTAATCTTTTGAAGCATTTCTCACGGTGCGATGATGATTCATACATGGCATCATGAGTAAACGAGCCTCAACATTTGTGTCACAAACTGTAGTATTGTTCAGAATATAGATTACCGTTATACAGAATGTTGTATTGTTCACAATATGGAATGTTGCCTGCTTTAGTGGTTGCATCAATGCTTTGAACCCATTTTCTGTATATACTGATGAGTGTAGGAGACGGTAATTTAATGCATTAGAGGGCGCATTCATGCTGCAGAGATTTTTTGAATTGAAAATGTATTCAAATTCGGGAAGTTATTAAGAAGTAATACTCTACCTTTATGTGTATAGGAATACAACCAATTCAACCAACCAGTAGGAACCGGCGATGATTCCTCCGTTTTCTAACGTTCTTGTCCATTGTTATGTTCTATCAGCTCAATATAAAGGCGAGAATTCTGAGGAACGTGGCTATTTTGAAATCTACCTATGAGGTGAAACATGATCGTATACTCTATGTCCTGTGGAAAGAGAACACAGCATTACTGTTTATGAGAAATCGGAAGATTGGATGCTACCTCAGGTCTGGTTATCATACTTCAGCGTTCTCGCGAAACAGTTGCTTGTCTTGTCTTTGTGCTTACGAAGCATTGGGTTATGTGCCGATCTGATGTCCATTTCATATCATACAGCACTTCAGCAGCATAACAGTATTCGGATCAATCATTTCAAGGAAAAGAAGTGTTTTGTTACCTAATTCCAATCCAAAAGGGTACACGTGGTCCGGCAACTGGATGTAAAACCCAGTATTCAATAAACGCTTACAGGCTATTGCAAGAGATATCCAGTAATGTAGCGTGCAGCTGGAATGCGAGTGATCACTGTGTAGGTATGCTGAAGTGGTAGTAGCGTAACCCATCCGAAGGACAAACATTCATTCTTTAGTCCGATTGCATGTTGGTAACGGAAGGACAATATGGCGATACAGCAATTCAGAGAAAAGGATTTAATATCACAATGGGTGAACAGTAAGCACTGAGCAGCGACAGTGGTGCTAAATGTAGTTCAATCCGCTGCGGGGCTGAGAACATTGCAGAGTCACCGACTGGTGTAGCTATTGAAATATACAAAATTTTGCAGCTGATTCTATTTGTGACTTGAATCCATTGAAGCACGTTAAGAGCTATATAGAAGCCATCGTCCTTAATAATCATGTGGGAGTAGTGTATCCGAATGGGAACTGCCTTAAGAACCTATGCCGGATCGTTGATATTTATTACGTGAATGTACTGATGGGCAACGACCCCCATATAACATGAAACCAACATCTGCTAATGTTAGTCAACGTCGAGTGATCCTTTGATGCTGTTACATGTTCACGGTCTAATGGGTGTTAAAACCGCCATGAAACACTGTCGATCGTATACGAGGGTGGCAGACACATGGTTCTTGCATAGGCGGCATGCATTACATTGCATGATAAGTACTTCCTGTCGTTTTGGTAAGTGGCAACTACTACTGTTCGTCCAGGAATTGCCATGAAGGCGCATCAATCGGATTAACCCTGGCATCTCCCTCAGGTCCCTGCTTATAGTGTCATCAGAACGTTAACCACGTAGCCAGTAAAAAGTTAAACTGAAGAGGAGCTGAATCCTTTGCATGGTCCGATTCGCTTTGTTTTAATTAAGGCATCAGTGAAATGTCATTTAACCACCAGGCTTTTTTAATACCATACCTTGTATCTAGGCTTATATGACCGTGATAAAAATTACTCGAATTTTCGTCGGTGAGGTAAGCGTTGTTATAAGCAGGAAAACTATGGTTTTAAATAAAATGAAGGACATTGCTTTAACATCGTATCAAATAACGCCTCGGCGCATAAAGAAGAATAAATGACAGAACCATGCACGTTGGAACTCTATGTTTGTCAAGATGATGGCTGCCTCAGCAGTGATTAAGAAAAGGAAGGTAGTCAATCAGTTACGATGAAACTTTGAATTAAAGCCTCTCCATGACAATTCTCACATGATAACCGAAGTCCATCAAAAATGGACGAGGAGACTAATGCGGAATACAAGAAAATAGGATCCACGCACATAAAAAGTGTTCTTTTTATGAAGGCGCTAACGATTGTCTTACTGTATCACGGGAGACATTCGGCAACTGCAAATGATCAACAAAAATAAACAATGTTCAAAATGATCAGCGATCGTCATTTAATTCGACGGTGCCGCTTTCGTCACTTCACTTGAAACCTTTCTCAAATTTAAGTTTAGTTTTGTAACGAGAGCTGACATTCGATAAGTATCTAATTAGTAAGAGTTTTCAACTTAATCCATAAAAATAGTGCATTTTACATCGCGATATAAGCAAGCATCGCACAAAATGTTTACATACACATGATCACATAACGACGACGACCGTTTTCTAGTCAAGATATCGAAAACGATCAGAAATAATGGTAACAACGTCGTTTAATGTTGCCAAAATAAATGTTTCTGTGAAAATTCGAGTGATTCTCTTCAATTTCACGCGCCCCGAAACCAGCAGCATCACAGCCCCGTTTCCGCCCGTAAATTTGTCTAAACGCCAAGTTTGGGTTAAAGTCAACGGCAAACAATAATATCAAAATTGAGTATATATATAGACATCT